AATACCCGAAAATGAAATAAAATGTTTAGTGAATAAATATGACGGTTTTATATGATTCTGTAGCATTGGAGTTTTCTAATGTTATTTAAGGTTTTTATTTAAATTTTTCTGATTTTATGTTAAATTTTTTGTGTGATTCCTTCTGGCCGCACATGTTAGGTAAATTAGTTAAGTTTTCTCCTTTTATGTATATTTTTTTTATAAAAAAACCCGCGATGGCTCCAGGCTTCACAGGTTAGGTAAATTAGTATTTTTTTTCTCATTTTATCTATAATTTTATGCAAAGCAATCTGCGTAGGTTTTACGCCGCATAAAATAGGTAAATTAATTTGTTGTATTTACTTTTTTTTTTATTGTATCTATATTTCTTTGCAAAACAACCCGCGATGGCTCCATGTCGCACAATATACAATTTATAATTGTCCTTACATTTTGGAGTAAATATATTTTAGAATTCCTTCTGATAATAATAATAATAATAATAATAATAATAATAATAATAATAATAATGCATTATTTATCCTTATAGATAAAATTCCACAAACTATACCCATGTCATTGTTTGTGTCTCATATTTTTTCTGCAGCACCTAGTTTTGATAGCACAAATTATTGTTGGTACTGTAATCATATTTTGAATTTTCATTTTTGTCTGTATCAGTATCTTTATGTCCTGGTACTGATTAATTTAGGGAGTAGCATATTCTGATTGATTTATTTTTCCTGTGAAAGCGAGAAATTAAAATTTAATAAAATAAATGGTAATGCCAAATCGATAATAATATCCGATTCATAATTGGGTTATGTTAGAGATGGAATCACAGCGTAACATTACTGTCAAATTCTTCAACAAAGACTGCAAAATTATTTTAAAATATAATATTTCTGCCAACGAGGACGTTTCGTGTTATTTTCACGAAAAGTTATTTTTCCTACGACCACTTAGGAAAGTGACACATATCACACTATATAATCCTATGGAAAGTGCCCTATATCACATGCGTATGAATAAGAATTTACTTTCCACCCGTGTACGAATATGCTACTTTCCGCACAAAATGTCAAACGCATCATTTATATTTTGATCTATGTAATGTCCATATTAATACTAAAATCGAGTGTTAAATTAATGAAGTTTTTGTAAATTAGATCCTAGATATTTATCTTTAACAATTATTATTAAAATAATTTTAAAATAACTAAGTTATGTTTGCTTTTTATTCTGGCTAAACACATAACCGATTAGATCATACAATTGACGCAAGGCCTATTAGCTCAGATGGTAGAGTATCAAACTTTATCAACTTTGCCATTTGAGACCTTGCGAGCGACCGCGTTCAAATCCTTGCGGGGCCAGAATTTTTTTAATTTTAATTTTTTTTTTGTTTAGAAACTATGAAAATTGAATAAATACGATTATTGTTGATTATTCTTTTAAATACATTTTAATTATTGTAATAATAACCTGGTTTTACATTTTTTGATGAAATTATTTTGTGGTCGTAGGAAAAATATTGTACATCACTTGTGTGAAAAGTGATTTTCCACACTCGTAATGTAATATACTATTTTCACGTATTTTTGGATATTTTTTTAAGTTTGTTAAATTTAAATAGTACATAATTACAAGGAGGTGATAACAATTTATATGCCTACTTGTATTTGTTTTACAATTTTTTACAATCTAGTGGGTATGTATGTGTTATTGATGATGATATTATTTGTCAAAAACAAATTAAAAACTTGGAAACTCAACTATATTTTCATTATTTCTTTGTATATCTATTTTTAGAAAGTATTAACAGAGATGAAAAAACTGTGTAAAGTGATTAATAATCATAATTAACATATTATATTGTATCTTCGTCATTAACAACTTATCTGTATATTCACCTCAATTACATTACATATATTTTTGTCAACGACATTTATTTATTTTCAATTTTTCATGTGAATTAGGTATATGTTTTAGTTGTGTTGGTGACTTCTTACAATATTTCCACTTATATATAGATAAAAATACCAAATAAGTATAAAATTTCTTTTCGTACACTTGGAGGCATACGTCATCTGCTAATATTTTGGTAGTTTCTACCTAAACTTAGTTAAATCAACGTCGAATTAACGTTATACTGACGTCAAATTTCCCTAGAGAGGTATTACTAACCAAACGTACTGGGCTACTACAATGTGGATTTAGATGTAATTCTACTATTTTGGTAAATAAAACCAAATTTCGACGTCGTCTTATTCTCCACTTATGTCGAATCCACGTCGAGCCAACGTAAATTTTACTTAATTATGGTTAAATCTAATTTTGCGGCCAAATTTATTATATATAATTTAGGTAGTATCGACGTCAAATTACACCAAAATGTTTGCTGGGGAAGCTTTGGCCGAAGTATCCATCAACAATATAGTCACCTTAAAATGGATTAAAGGTCACGCCACATCGAAAGGTAACCGTCTTGCTGATTCACTAGCCAAGAAAGCAGTCAACCAAATACTTTTTGGACATTGCCCTTCTATTGGCCTGACAAAATCGGTAGTGACAGACCTAATCAAAGAACATTCCCTTGTGAAATTCAAGGAAAGATGGAATGAAACAAGAAACTGCAGAGTTGCCAGGGAGCTCTTAAGTTATCCTGACAACACTGCAGCAAACAAATACTTGACTATGACTAGACAGAATCTGCGCCTAGCCACAGGCATTCTGACTGGTTATTGCCAAATACGAAAGCATCTCCATATCATGGGGCTGTCAGAATCCGCCTTCTGCAGAGTGTGCGAACAAGAAGATGAGACCATCAAGCATATCCTTTACGATTGCTCGACGCTTTCATTTATTAGAAGATTTGTGTTCGGCGACATTGTCAACTACATTAAATCTGTAGGCTGGCTCACGAGCTAGGAGGTGCCTATCATCTCAGGAGGATGCACAATGGGCCTAATGAGGCCTAAGTGCTGTAGGGTAACTCACCCTCCATACTTTACAGATAAAGATAGTTTTGGTTTTCTTTTGATAATGGATTTTTTAAATTTAGATGTTACATGGCGTAATAATAATGAAATTATATCGCAAGTGCAGCGTTTGGTTGCAATACCCGAAAATGAAATAAAATGTTTAGTGAATAAATATGACGGTTTTATATGATTCTGTAGCATTGGAGTTTTCTAATGTTATTTAAGGTTTTTATTTAAATTTTTCTGATTTTATGTTAAATTTTTTGTGTGATTCCTTCTGGCCGCACATGTTAGGTAAATTAGTTAAGTTTTCTCCTTTTATGTATATTTTTTTTATAAAAAAACCCGCGATGGCTCCAGGCTTCACAGGTTAGGTAAATTAGTATTTTTTTTCTCATTTTATCTATAATTTTATGCAAAGCAATCTGCGTAGGTTTTACGCCGCATAAAATAGGTAAATTAATTTGTTGTATTTACTTTTTTTTTTATTGTATCTATATTTCTTTGCAAAACAACCCGCGATGGCTCCATGTCGCACAATATACAATTTATAATTGTCCTTACATTTTGGAGTAAATATATTTTAGAATTCCTTCTGATAATAATAATAATAATAATAATAATAATAATAATAATAATAATAATAATAATAATAATGCATTATTTATCCTTATAGATAAAATTCCACAAACTATACCCATGTCATTGTTTGTGTCTCATATTTTTTCTGCAGCACCTAGTTTTGATAGCACAAATTATTGTTGGTACTGTAATCATATTTTGAATTTTCATTTTTGTCTGTATCAATATCTTTATGTCCTGGTACTGATTAATTTAGGGAGTAGCATATTCTGATTGATTTATTTTTCCTGTGAAAGCGAGAAATTAAAATTTAATAAAATAAATGGTAATGCCAAATCGATAATAATATCCGATTCATAATTGGGTTATGTTAGAGATGGAATCACAGCGTAACATTACTGTCAAATTCTTCAACAAAGACTGCAAAATTATTTTAAAATATAATATTTCTGCCAACGAGGACGTTTCGTGTTATTTTCACGAAAAGTTATTTTTCCTACGACCACTTAGGAAAGTGACACATATCACACTATATAATCCTATGGAAAGTGCCCTATATCACATGCGTATGAATAAGAATTTACTTTCCACCCGTGTACGAATATGCTACTTTCCGCACAAAATGTCAAACGCATCATTTATATTTTGATCTATGTAATGTCCATATTAATACTAAAATCGAGTGTTAAATTAATGAAGTTTTTGTAAATTAGATCCTAGATATTTATCTTTAACAATTATTATTAAAATAATTTTAAAATAACTAAGTTATGTTTGCTTTTTATTCTGGCTAAACACATAACCGATTAGATCATACAATTGACGCAAGGCCTATTAGCTCAGATGGTAGAGTATCAAACTTTATCAACTTTGCCATTTGAGACCTTGCGAGCGACCGCGTTCAAATCCTTGCGGGGCCAGAATTTTTTTAATTTTAATTTTTTTTTTGTTTAGAAACTATGAAAATTGAATAAATACGATTATTGTTGATTATTCTTTTAAATACATTTTAATTATTGTAATAATAACCTGGTTTTACATTTTTTGATGAAATTATTTTGTGGTCGTAGGAAAAATATTGTACATCACTTGTGTGAAAAGTGATTTTCCACACTCGTAATGTAATATACTATTTTCACGTATTTTTGGATATTTTTTTAAGTTTGTTAAATTTAAATAGTACATAATTACAAGGAGGTGATAACAATTTATATGCCTACTTGTATTTGTTTTACAATTTTTTACAATCTAGTGGGTATGTATGTGTTATTGATGATGATATTATTTGTCAAAAACAAATTAAAAACTTGGAAACTCAACTATATTTTCATTATTTCTTTGTATATCTATTTTTAGAAAGTATTAACAGAGATGAAAAAACTGTGTAAAGTGATTAATAATCATAATTAACATATTATATTGTATCTTCGTCATTAACAACTTATCGTTTTTCAGTTTTCTTCCATCCAAATGCCCAAGAATGCCGTAACAAGTTGGTAACCGGTACAAATTCAAATTTTGGTAACTGTTTTTCGAAATTATTGAGACCAACCGCTACAGGACAGCCTAATAAGAAAGAGCTCTGTGGGTAAGTAAAAAGCATCTAAGTACTGTAGGTTTTTCTGATGTCTTCGGGAAAATAACTTCTGTACACTTTAACAAACTTGCTTATTGGAAAAAGGTAACAAAAACAACAGGTTTAAATACAGGAATGTCTTAGGCCCGTATTTATAAACAGAACTTACCTGAGTCGGACTTGGGTAAGTCGTCCTTGAACGAAAATCGAAGTTCGGTTACAACGTCTCTAAAGTTCCAGGTGGTTCTGGTGTAACACTGGTATTTAGAGATGGATATTAGCAAATCTGTAACTGTTATGTGCATTTACGGATTTGTTACTACCCATCTCTAAATTCACGCGATATAACCGAACTTCGATTTTAGTTCAAGGACGACTTACCCAAGTCCGACTCAGCTGAGTTTTATTTATAAATACGGGCCTTAATTAAGGTATTTTTAGAATTAACGATAACTACTATATCTACAGTACCATGATGCATATAATTTCATCTTCTTGTTGACATCCCCTACACAGAGGTACTGCAGCTAACCTCATTCCACCAGGAATGTTCAAGGGATAAATTAAATATCTACCGTTTGGATGTCTCTTCATTCATTGTCAAACACTTCTTGGTTCTTTCTTTCACAAGGCATTTAAATAATTCGCTGTTACTTTTACGGTCTTTATTTTCATTCCAATATTGTTAAGGGAACATACTGCACTTAAACCATCGCAAATGTTTAAATACAATGTCCCAACGAAATTTACACAGCCTACTAGTCAGGCTGATTTTGAAATATAGTATGTGGCTTGCCAACTTTTCTTAAACCCCAGGTAGACGTAACTAATTAACCAAAACGCAGTTTTATTGAATCCTTGAAAGAGACAAATTTAGAATGGATGACAAATGTCGCTTGTAATGTGATTATAAGGGAGTGGTCCAGAACAATTATATCTTTGTTTCGTGCCATTTCGAAAATAGTCGAATCGATAGTTAAAGAGGTCGAACGTTGAAAGAAAATGTCTCGTCATTCAAAGAAAATGACGCGCTCCAAATATTAGTATTGTAGTAAAATTAATGGTGCAAAGGAAATTCCTATAGATCATTGCGATGTAAAATTAAAATCATATAGAACACTGCAATAATTATAGATTTTGACTAAATAAATAAAAATAAGAGGTACTGAAGTTGTATAGGTACTTAATTTTAATACACAAATTCAATAGCATAGAATTTAACGATGTTTGTATTGTAAGATACAAGCGAGAAAACTGAGTAGATGTTATGGAAAATCGCGAATTACACTGGTTGATTTGTAACGAACTATAGGCCAGTAGGTCCGTAAAAAATTTAACATTAATGCTAACGTTTTATTAAATGTCGTGGTAAGATAAAGAATACCGATACCGAATTTTTTATAGCTCACACATTTTTATTTATATGGGGTGTTCGATAAGTACGGTACATAACTGGAGCTAAAATAAAAGTATTTTTGTTATATACACTATGTCTTAAAATTGCTTCGTTACGGAAATACAGGGTGTGAAAGTTTCATAAAAAAAATACAATTTTCCAATATTTCCAAAACCACTTAAGATATTTTAATCAAACTAATCGCTGAAAAATATGGAAGGAAAAACGTGTTACGCCACTGTTCTGTTTTTAATGTTGGATTTGGAAAAAAAAGCAACAAAGACAGTAATTTTTTTCATTCTTTTTTATTATTTTTAATCTCTTTGAAATGGAATTCAGCGGAAGCTAGAAGAATTGGGCCTCTGGATTTACTGCTCTTAAATGGGCAGGTATTGATGAAATAACAGCAGGGGAATTACTGATCCATTTCGTCATCTCAAACCCTTATATAATATTTTTACCGCCTTCTATAGCTTGAGCTCATCTTGAGCTTCAGAAACAAATGATAAGGTAATCGTCGACGTACTGTTGCTTGTTGATTTTTCGTTCGATGCCAGGAAATTGGGCTTCATAAATTTCTGCGTTACTATTTTTAACAAATTGCGCCTTTGAAGGTGATGAAACAGCTCCAAATATCATCACGTTCATTTGGTAAACGTCAGGTGATTGTTTTGAACCAAAGTCACGACATAGGAACCGTTGAGCGCATCTATCGTCATTCCTAATGTGGACCTGGTGAAACATCTCCTTGTCTTGTCTAAATCTCCACAACACTGCAATGAGTGATGGAACCAAATTTGGACCTTGTAGCAGGAAATTATTAAGACTTACATTATGGCTTTTTGCAGCGGCATCAAAAACTAGTTGAATCTTTCCTGGCTTATTTATGTTCCATACTGGGAAATGTGGAAGATACCAAGTTTTGGATGTGTCCGTTATCTAAGACCTATTAAGTTTACTTGCATAACCTTTATTTAGGTATTCATGTATCTTCAGTTGATATTCTTCTTTAAATTTTTTAACCGCTTTCATTTTTCGCTTCATACAAAAAAGTCGTTGAAGTGTAATCTGGCGACTATCAGGCAACGTTTCTGTTTTGTCTCGCCAAAGATGACCTATTTCATAATGGTTACCAGTTTTCTTTAATGTCGCTTTCATGATGTCCAATGCTCTTTTGTTTTCGATAGATTTGACGGCATGATCATCAATTTTGATACCAAAATCATCCAAACGAAAGCTATCTTTAAGTAAAGTTCATCATCTTTTTCTGATGTGCAGCATAAACGTACATGTTCTAATTGAGGATTGACAACATTATTTAGAGATGCGTGAATCTTCCAACCCAATTTAGTTTTTGACATCATTGGTAGATGTTCTCCCTAGATGCTGTCAAGCCAATGTGACTTTGACCTTTGACCTAATACAATGAGAGGATTGACATCTTTGACTAATTCTTTTGCGATCCAAATGAGGGAACGTCTTTGTGACAGTGTCAATATTGAAACGTTGATTTGGCAGTTCTAAATGCTTTACTGTTCTGATTTTCCCTACTTTAAAGAATTCCGAAGCAGAAACTCCAGCAATTTCTAGACACACGACAATGGATTCGTTTTCGTGGTGCCATACCCATTTGTCAACTGATAACAAAGTGATTGCCCAAATTTTCTTCGATTAGGGAACAAGTCGAACCCTCATCAAAAATTGCGAAAATGTCTCATTAACCATCTGGACCACAAACTTTTACAGGTATAACTTTCAGAAGGACACGATCTTCTTCAGAAAACTTAGATTGTTTGGCACAAAATTGTGAAGATGGTGGTTCTAGAAGAGGTACCGTTTTTGGGGGCTCATGGTGTGGTTTAGCTAGGTATAATAGCTTATGGTGCTTTCCCTTACAACCATCTTCGTTACATTTAATCTTCTGGCGGTAACATCTATTGGCAGAATGCCCCATTTTTAGGCATATAAAACACAACTTCTTGTCTAAAACTGCTGCACGTCTATCAGTCACTGACATTTGAAGAAATTCCCCACATTCCACAATACTATGAAGAGAACTTTTACAAAATGAGCATCCTAAGATTGAAGTAGGTTTCTTTGTTGTTTTCATTAGCACTAAAACATTCTCTTGTTTAGTAGATCTTTGAAATGGATCAAATGTAACAGTGATTGAGTTAACTTCTTCTTCTAGCCAGTCAGCAAAGTCCTCTAAAGAGGTGTGAGGATTGGTTGATTCAAGTCTGTATCTAAATTTTCTTCAATTATATCTCTGAATTGGGATCAGCTTATCTACCAACGAAGATAAAAGTTCTGGATTCAATAGATAACAATCAAAATCAATATTTTTATAGTAGTAACCATATTTGTTACAGTGTTCAGGGAAAAATACTGGAGTCGAGTTTATCTTCTCTAATTGGATTTAGTTTTCGCGCTTTTTGTGATAGAGATAAGACAATCCACTCTCGACGACCAAAGTTCATCTCCAGTAGCTTAATAATTTTATTTACATTATTTGCCGAAATAAGAAGGGCTTTAACAGTGTCTCTGGCCCTACCCTTCAAAGCTCTGTCTAAGCGTACCAAATTTTCTTGTTGAGAAAGATTAAAGCTTTCAGAAGTACACTTTAACTCGGAAATAAAAACAGGCCACTCAGAGATGTCACCAGCGAAAGAAGGCAGATCGTTTAATTTTGAACGTAATAGTAGTTGATTTGTCATTTTACTGTTCTGCACATACTGCTTAGCTATATCAAGAAGCAAATCATTATTAGCTTTATTATCTTCTTCAGTTTTTTTGCACATTGCTTTAGGATGAAGGGATGATGACGTTTCAAAAATTTTATGACTACCATCCTCCAGAGACACAAAAGATTGGACGGGTATAGACAGGGCACAATGTCTGGCATCATTAATCCAATTATTAAATTTCTCAGGGGAGTCATAAAGCCTTTCTGAAACTGGCAGTTCATCATCACTATCTTGCTCTTCCAATATCAAATTCTGAATGTCTGCTTCTTTTATCAGTAACACACGTTTCCTATTGATTATACGTAACTCTTCTTCAAGTTTCTTTTGCTTTTCAATAAATTGTAATTCTACGGTTAACTGAGATTTTGCATTTGTTGATACAGATAATCGTGATTTTTCTTTTTGAATTACAGGCACAGATTTATTATGTTGTTTACTAGAATGTATAATTTCAGATTTAGAAATTCTAGGTGTGTTCGCAGGAGGACTAACATTATCACATGCTTTGGAAGTTGTTGCTACTTCGTTATTGGACTTAGCATTACAGCCTTCCACCACCGTAGCAGGATATCTTCTTGGAGGAACACCTTTATTATTTCTAGAGCTCCTTTTAGTATTTTCCATAGCGCTTAGTTAATTAGCTCGAAAGGACCAATACTTTATTATTAATCAGAATACAAGCATTAATCAATATGTAATTTTACATACATAGCAAACATGATAATAATAAAAATGAACATAGTAAATAAGTAATAACTAGTTTTGTATATTAGCTGCTGTTAGTAACAGTTACATTTTTGATCGTCCAGCAATCCATTAAATTTTTTTTTTTTTTTTTCATTTTAGAAATGTTGCCAATCCTGTATCGA